CTCCTGTCCGGCCCTCGCCCGCCTCCCCGCGCCACGGCCGCTTGTTGTGGGAGCGCAGGGACGTACCGGAGCCCTTCTCCTGCCCCGGCAGCGCACAGGGGCTCTGACCGGACAGGTCCCGGCTTCGCAGCACTGCCCGGGGCGGGAAGCGGGTTTCCCCTCGCCGCGCTCACACCGTGGCCGCTGCACCGTGACAAACCAGCTGCCGGCGGTGGTAGCAGCATCTCTGGTCAGGCCATGTCCAGGGCCCTGGCCTGCCAGCAGCTCCTCTTCACACATCTTCAATATAGCTGCAGACACTGTGCACCTGTTGCGCTGTCTGAAAGGAAAAGGCTACAGGGATTCTGCCCCCTTCGGCCTCACCTAACTCCATCAACTTGAAGAAGATATTGGTGATTTTGGTGCAACAGGACAGTATGAAGCTCTCTTTTGGGTAGACAAGTTGCTTATTTGAAGGCAAGGTCAGTGCCTTGGGCTCGCCGTGTGAAACAGAAATCCCTTTTGGGCAGACAAGGGCCTTGCTCAGCACCTTGCTCAGCAAGGTGACACTGTGGTGTGACCCTGCCCCTGGACACTGGCCAGGATATTAAAAACTGACTAGTGATTTGGGGTGCCTAACCAGAGGCTTTGAAAGAGCCCAGGTTTTCAGCAAGTGTGGAAACCCCTGCAGCTGTATGAAAATCACAGCTTTGCCAGGGGCTTCATGGAGGGCACTCAAAACCACAGGGCAGTGTTGAAACCTCTGCCCCTCCCCACACAGTGAAGATCAAGGTGTGAAATTCTCTATCAGAGCAAAAGTGACAGCCAGGGTAGCATAGGGAGCAGAGCAGCATTATAACCACGGCTCCTCCCTGCTGGAATAAATGCCAAAACAGCAAGAGCACCGATCCCTTCCCCATCGACTGGCGCTGCACTTGCGGGCACGAGGAGGAGAGGCATCTTCTATTTGGGCTTGGGCTTAAGATGCTCAGCAGCCAGGCAGCTGTGAGTCAGCCCAGAGGAACACTAGATTTGTATCCTATACACTACATTAATCAGAAGCCCCGACTTAGTCAAGTGAGGTGTTTTGTTTTTTCAATGGTTACAAGATACGCATGCCCTTCCTGCTGCCAAGTTGCCTGAGAAATGTGCTGGCTGTCATGGACTTAACATTTCCCTAATATTTGAAAATGTTTGAAAAATCAATTGTAGTTCTAAAAATAAAGATGAATGAGAAAATGGGTTTAGCTCCCCCAAACTGAGCAGCCCCTCAGGGATGACATGGGTAGAGCTGGCTGAAAGGCTGCAGACCTTACATTAAACAGGCAAGGGGGGAAGGACCACAGCTGGGCTTAAGGGACTCACGAAAACCTGGAGGCACGTGGGATCCACACGGTCGTTCTCCTTCTTGCAACAATGAGAATGTAGGTTGCCAGGACACAAACCCTTAGAAAAAAAAGCCCCCACCCAGGCATTAGAAATAGCAAGACTTGTACTAAAGGCATTCAGAGAAGAAGGTCTGAAACACGTGAACTAAAAAAAAACAACCCAAGTAGCTCACAAGAATTTTATTTTCATTCAGACCACGTATTCCTTTTGAGACAAGGAGCAGCTGAACTTCAACAGATTACACCGAAGCACCACAACTTCACTATACTTTACCTCAAATAAATCAGGACTGATTTCCTACAGTGCATTAACCATTGTAAACCAAGGACTAGGAACCATGTGTTACACATTCTTTTACCACTGGTCCATCACAAGAGGAAATGTTTGCATTTCACAAGTAAGAACACAGATCGGATCAGCAGACAATGAAAAAGTTCATCCTTCAGCCAGCTCGCAGCAGGAAAGGCCCATGGCCAAATCTCAGCACAGAAAAGTACCAGACATGAGGTGAAGTTTCTTAGACCACTTATTGTTCGACTGTGCACATCTTAGGCCTGTTTGCTCCTGCCGGTTTGATGTTGACCACGCCAACTACATTTACAATCGTTTGGACACAGGACGAGATCTTTGTCCTTGTGGAGCTGGAGGTTAAACACGAACACCCTGAAGCCTTAACGTACAGATGCAAATATATTGCACCACAAACAGCCTCAAATTGGCCCCGCAAGCTACATCCTAAGCAAAGCTACAGCCAAACCACAAACAGAACCAAGCACAAACTGACATTTCTACACTAACACCGAGAACGGCTCAACAACCCAACCAAGAACACAGTATACGCTGCCTTCAATCGCATCTATTTTGATCCACTGCTTAACTAGCAAAGCCAAACAACCTACCAAACCCTTCACTGCTGCATATCAAAATGCACAACTAGCACAAAGCCTCAACCTCCCTGCACACAATCGGGGCCAACCCAAGACCGAGTGCACGGTGCAACTTGAAGCGTGCGGCTGCTTGCTCCTAATGGGTGTTTGAAAGTGTAGAGAGGCACTCAGCAGTCTCCATCTGTACTTCTCTAAGCAGACATTAAACATTCACCTTCCTCCTGCCCACCCCAACCCACACTTCTTGATCCCGAGCTTTCTTCTCTTGCTTCCATTCCTTCTTCTCCAGCTGCCCTTCAGGGACCTGCAAGAGTACACAAAACAGAACTGGAGTCGACTGGCAATGTATCCCACACCCCAGGAAATATAGACTAGAATGTAGCTCCTAGTACCCATCGTACTCTCGAGATTGGTGTCCTTTAAAAACAAGGGGGATGCGACATACCTCCGGTTTACTAAAAGAGGACGAGTACGGCCCTAGCAGTTACCCGTGTATGACAACAGCAGGACCTAGGACACGAATCCTGTGTGCGCAGCTGCCCCAGTGCTCCCACCTTCCACAAGGTGCTAATCACAAGGTTGACAACTTGGGGATGCAAGTTGCAGAGAGGACAGACAGCGTGTCCAAGCTCCCTTACCTTTCCCTCCTGCTGGGCGGGAGGGGATGTCTTCCCTCCTTAGTGGCTAACGGCTGCCCATCTGTTGTCTTGTCTGCTTCTCCTTCCAGGGGTTAAAAAATGGACAGACACTGGATTTAAATCAGCACATCAGAGGACGAGACTACAGGCCCCAGCTTCTCTCCCTCTTTTACTCTCACCTGGACTCGCGGTCACTCTGTCCTCTGTCTGCGGAAAGTGGTAAGGACAGATGTCTGCGGGCTCGACTGCTGCCATCCTGGTCAGCCAGAAGCTGTGTGTGACAGGCCGGGACTCTGGATAGTACTGCTAGGGCGGCACCATGAACGGTGACCACAAACACCAAAAACCCTGCTGACAGGGCGGTGCTCCCTGCACACAGCTGGCAGCTGGGGCATGAAGCCCAGAGACAACCTGCAAAGTCCTGAATGCCAGCTGACAGGTGCCCCAGGTGGTCTTGATCAGGGGTCAAAGCTGCCCCGTGGACAGAAGGGCCAGACAGGACAGAAGGGCCACGACTTCAGCCTCCCGCCACGGAAGCCACAGAGCCCAAAGGGCTAAAGGAGGCCTCCTCCCCCACGGTCAGAGGGGGTGGGGCTGCAGCCCTGTGTACAGGGTGCGGGGGCGCATCTTGCAGGGACCTGGACCTGAGTTACAGGAAGGTCGGTAAGCCTCAGGGTCCCAACACACTCAGTGCCCCCCAGAAGCCTGCAGCCTTCCCTGTTGTATGTGGGTATCCTCTCTGGCCAAGCTCACCAAGTGGAACGAGACCTGACCCAGAGGATCAAGGGGACCTGGGCCCTGCTTACAGGCTGCAGGCCGGGGGTGGGGGCGCAGAACAACGGCTGGCCAAGTGCCAGGGCACTCGTCTCCAGGGACTCCGGTGGGAAATACATAGCCTGCCCTCAAGAAGGAGGGCAGTAACCCTGCATGCGGGCTACCAAGTGGCCGAAAAAATATGCCAGCCACCCAAAAAGAAGGGGTCTCCCCGCCGCAATGCCCGGCGCGGCCACAGGAGGGCGGCTCTAAGCAGGGCTTTGTCTCCGCCGCCATGGGCTGCGGCAATGCCCCGAAG